CGCCGGGCCCGCGGTGCTCTGCCAGCAGCGCCTCCTTGAACTCCATGGCGTCCAGCTGGGAGGCGCCCTGCCGCAGCTTCTCCAGCAGCCGCTGCGCCACCCGAAAGGCCTCCTCCTCTCAGCACGAGGACGAGTTTTTCATCCCAGATCGTTTTCTGAGTCCCGGGGCCCTTGGAACCCCGACCACGGCGAAAAACCTCAGGACCCGTTTCTCTCAGGACCTGTTTCCCCCATGGCGATCCTCTCCGCCGGCGCGGCTCCACGAGATGGACACGCGCCGGCCCCTACCCGTCGGGTAGGAGACGTACGTCCGCCGGTCGCTGGCCCTGCGGATGAGCGCGCTGTAGCCGAGGGCGGCGAGGCCCCCGGGCAGACCGCCCTGCGCAGGGGCCCGGGCCGCGTGCCTCGCAGGGCTGGGCGCCCTCTGGCCGCACGCCCCCTCCTGGGCGGCGAGGCCTTCGGGCAGCTCGCCCTGCGCAGGGGCCCGGGCCGCGTGCCTCGCAGGGCTGGGCGCCCGCTGGCCGCACGCCCCCTCCTGGGCGGCGAGGCCTTCGGGCAGCTCGCCCTGCGCAGGGGCCCGGGCCGCGTGCCTCGCAGGGCTGGGCGCCCTCTGGCCGCACGCCCCCTCCTGGGCGTCGAGGCCTTCGGGCAGCTCGCCCTGCGCGGGGGCCCGCGCCGCGTGCCTCGCAGGGCTGGGCGCCCTCTGGCCGCACGCCCCCTCCTGGGCGGCGAGGCCTTCGGGCAGCTCGCCCTGCGCAGGGGCCCGGGCCGCGTGCCTCGCAGGGCTGGGCGCCCTCTGGCGGCACGCCCCCTCCTGGGCGGCGAGGCCTTCTGGCAGCTCGCCCTGCGCGGGGGCCCGGGCCGCCCTCGGGCCGCACGCCCAGCCCCTGAGCCCGCTCGGGACGAGGCGCTTCCGCTTCCTCGGGGGACCCCCCCCGCCGCCGGCGGCGCCGAGGCGGGAGGCCTCCGCCCGGCGGGGGCGCTCGACGGCGGCCTGCCCCGACCCAGGGCCCGCTCGCCCGTGGTGGCTCTGAGGCTCGGCCCCGCGGGCGGCCCGGCCGTCACCCGCCCCGATCGAGCCCTGCGCAGTCTCGCAGTGGCTCTCTGATGCACCGGCACCATGCGAGGCGGCCGCATCGCCCATCGCACCAGCAGCTTCAGACCAAACGGCCTCGGCCGGGGGAGAAAAATGGGGACGGGATCGGGGGACGTGGCCCCAGGGAGTCCCCACCGTTCGCCACGACTGCCGACACGGCCCACGTCTTCTGCACCACCAAAAAATTGGCCCAGGATGGTCAGAGGATGCTACAGCATTCCTCAGTGCAGTAAGCACATGGACTCAGATGCCAGCCTGCCAGCAGGCTCGGGCCCCACGGAAGCTTCTACTCCCCGATGGCCCTGGTGACCCATGGTAGTCGGGATATCTGAGAACATTGACCAGGTCGGCATCGAAGCCTCCCAGAGTTCTTATGGCAGCGCTTCTGATCCATGTGCTACATGATCGTGGAATCGCGAACTTATCTTACTCAACCCGCCAGCCGACCCTCAGTCTGACCACGGCCAATCCTCCGCCCAACTCTGCCTAGCCCCTCCAGCCAACCCTGGTCAAGAGTGCTTCCCTGACACAAGACACTGCGTCGCCCAAAAGGCCCAAGGATGGTCCAATGAGGCGCCAGGCAGCAGAGGGTGTGGTCCTTAACCGGGGCGCTCCGGAGAGGGCCTCGCCTTCGAGGGGTCCATGGAGGGGAAGCGCTCGAGGGGCCGGAATCGGCGATACACCACAGACGGATCGGCAATGGGCCCCCGATGGCGAACCCGAGTCTTCCTGGGCGCGGTGGGCTCTCGGCGCCCCCCTCGGCGAGGAGCAGACGATTGGGGGTCGACCGTCAAACCACGAAACGGGGCGAACAAACCGGCCCTGGGGAAGTGGTCAAACGACCTTCCGGGCCCACGCGTCAAGAAGCTGGAGCGGCCGGATGCCCGGGGAGGCAAAAAAGGGCCTCGGGAGGCCACGCCGGCACGCTGCGAGCGGGGCGCGGCCCGCGAAGGGGCGGCCAAGGATGGGATATATCTCAGCAGCAATAGTGGATGCTGTGCTGCGCTATGCTATGCTATGCTATGCTATGCTATGCTATGCTATGCTATGCTATGCTATGCTATGCTATGCTATGCTATGCTATGCTGCGCAATGCTATGCTGGGACGCCATCGTTTCTTCCTGAAGTCGACCCCCGGAGGTTTCGACCTACATGCCCCAGGACCGGTGTTCCATCCTCATCGGGCCATGCTTCGGACGGTGCTGAGGCCCGGCAAGGGCCCTCAGAGGCCGACAATCGTGATAAACCTCCCGTCGCGAGTTTTGATAGGTCCTCGAGGGGGTCTGGGAAAGCAGCTCAACCTCGCTGTGAGGGTTGACTGCAGAGGCAGTCCACGAGTCGCATTCCATCGGCCTTGACTAGGACGGCGCACCAGGAGAGCCGAAGGATTGCAAAAAAACCGAAGGATTGCAAAAAAACCCTGGATTGCAAAAAAACCCTGGGTTTTTTTTTGCAATCCTGGGTTTTTTTGCAATCCTGTTTTTTTTTGCAATCCTTCGTTTTTTTTGCAATCCTTGGTTTTTTTTGCAATCCTTGAATCGAGTCGATGAGTCGGATCGGCGATCGACGTGAATCGGATGGGCGGAAATCGGCAGCCGAGTTGGCAGAAGCCGAATCGGAAGGCACCGGCAGGCCGGTGGGCCCCCGTTGAGAAATCGGACCCCAAGTCTGAATCCGAAATCGAAGCGAATCGGAATCGGACTCCATCGAAATCGAATCGAACCGAGTCGGAGGAATCGAAATGAGACCCGTGGACGGGGCACCCGAGAGGACACGAGGCCCTTCTCCGAGGGCCGCGCGCTGCCCCAGGAGATCGCGGAGGACGGCGGGCGCGAAAAGCACAGGGCACAAACGGCACCCTTGGTTCGGCAGGGTCGACCTACCAGTGGAGGCCAGGCCACATGAAAACTTCCACGAGAAACCTTCCACAAAAATCCTCCTTTTCGTCCTCCTCGTCCTCCTCCTCTTCCTCCTCCTCCTCCTCCTCCTCCTCCTCATCCTCCTTACGTGCGCCAGAGATTGGAGGCCAGGCCACAAGAAGCCTTCCACAAGAAACCCAACCCTGAGACCCCATGGCGTCCATTGAGAGTTTTGGTGTGGGAGCGTCATGCTCTCCATCGCAAAGCCATCGGAATCCACGAAACCCAGGGCACCCTGGAGGCAGGCAGGATGTCTCTTGGCATCGGTCTCCACTGGGCCCCAGCCGAACCTAGGATCAAGACAACTATCACTTAAGAAACCTTGGCCAGCTTCCCGGAAGTTGGTTGGCACTTCTTCTCCGTCGGCGGCAGAGCAGAGAAGCCGCTCCAGCGGGTAGCGATTCGGGGCGACCGAAAGGTGAATTGACCGGCAAGCTGCTTGAAACAAAGATGGGCCAATTTCCGTTGTGAACGCTGGAGGGGCGAAGGTGCTCCAGAAGCAGGGACAGCTTTCCGGCAAGTCGGTTAAGAAACGCTGGCCCAGCGTTTCGGGAGGAGGTTGCCTAATCAGCAGACGCTCGACTGTAAGCAACCTCGACTGCGCAGTCAAGTGGCATAGTAAGGATGCGCGGTGAGGATGCGCGCGGGGGGGGAGGGGGCCGGGCGTTGCTCAACGAGAGGGGGGGGCGAATAGGGTTAGGTCGGGCATGTCCTCCTCCAGGCGGATTTTATCTGAAAAATGAAAAAATCCCCAAAATGATGTTCAAAACTGATTGACAGAAATGGTCAGAAAATGGTCCCCCGAGTATTTGTTTGACTATTTGGGAATTTTCCTCCCGTAGAGGGACGTGCCCGACTTCAGAATCGGGGGGGGGAAGGGGGAGGGGGAGGAGCGGGGGTAGACACGTGCACCTCTCGTGCCCCCTCTGGGCTCCAGAGGACCCCCCTTGAGGGCCCCTTCCGGCCACCTGTCGTCCCCCCTCCGTGCACCGCGCCCGCCCCGCCAGCCGGAAGAAGTAGGTGGCAACTTGTTGGCCGTCGGCGGCGAGGCAGAGGCAGTCCGCGCTAGCGTCAGGCGAATCGGGGCAGCCGATGGGCAAAGTGTGCGGCGTGCGAGGAGGGAGAGACGAAGGCGAGGGCGGCCGCGCGAAGGGAGGAGGGGGAGGGCGCTCAGACGTGGAAGGTGGGTTGAAACATGAAGTAGGAAGGCGGCTTGAATAGCAAGCCAAGAAAAGCACACAAGAAAAGCACTAGAAAAGCAATCGACTCTTGAGGCTCGGGCCCGCCCAAAGAATAACAAGCACAAGAAAAGCACATCGACTCTTGAAGTAGGACGGCGCTGGAGATAGATTAAGACCTGGGAATCCAGAGATCCCAAACATCCAGTCCCTCCAATTTTTGTCGACGCAGGTCTGGACCAATTCCCTTGGGCTGGTTTTTCGCCCCGAGCCAGTTTTGACGGTCCCGAGGCCCCCTGAGGCCGAAAACAGCCAAAAACAGGTCGCTCCAATTTTGTCGACGTGTCGGATCCCTGGGATCGGGGATCTACTGACCCGGGTCAATCCTGGCCTGGGGTCGGGGATCTCCTTTGCAGGATCCTGCAAGATCCTACAGGATCCTGGGCCCAAGCCCACGTCGGTGGGCCCCTGGCTTTGCAGGATCCTGCAAGATCCCGCGCTCTGGCTGGCCCCCGTCTGCGTTGACCCCTGCCTCTTATGAGCCCGAATGCCCAGACCCCCGACGTCGTGACGTGTTCACAACGTCGACCCCAAGAGGTCTGGACCCCTTCCCTGGGACCGGTTCTGCATCCCGAGTCCTTTGTTGACGATCCCGAGGCCCGGTTTAGGGGCCCCCAGAGGCCGAAAATAGCGAACCGCCTCCCGTCGCGATCTCTGTTCACAACGCGAGGGGGTCTGGGTGGGATGCCTACTCTCGGCGACCGGCGTGTGCGCAACGCCCGAGGGGGGAGGAGGATAAGGAAGAGGAGGACGAGGAGGGGGAGGAGGAGGAGGAAGAGGAGAAGGAGGAGGAGGAGCAGGTGCAGCACGAGGGCAGGAGGAGAAGGAGGAGGAGGAGGAGGAGGGGACAGAGGAGGAGGAGGAGGAAGAAGAGGAGGAGGAGGAGGAAGAGGAGGAAAAGGAGGAAGAGGAGGAGGAGGAGGAGGAGGAGGAGGAGGAGGAGAGGGAGGAGGGAGGAGGAGGAGGAGGAGAGGGGGGGGAGGCGCGCGCGTCTCCGGAAGTCGCACGCGAGCCTCTGGCTGCGGCTCCTCGGGGGGGTCGGGCGCCGCGGGGCGGCGGGGCGGTGGCCCAGGCCGCCTGGCGCTGCTGCACCTCCTTCCTCCTCCTCCTCCTCCTCCTCATCATCATCATCATCATCCTGCTCCTCCTCTTTTGTCCTCCTCTTCCTCCTCCTCCTCGTCCTCCTCCTCCTCCTCCTCCTCCTCCTCCTCCTCCTCCTTCCTCCTCCTCTGTCCCCTCCTCCTCCTCCTCCTTCTTCTGCCCTCGTGCTGCACCTCCTGCCCTCCTATCGGGCGCGCGCAAACATGGATTAGCGATCCATGGATTTGGCGCGGGGTCGCCAACTCCATGGATCGCGGGAGGGGCCCTCCCGAAAATGCGGCCAATGCCGCCTCGTTCGGCGGCGGAGATCCGCGATGCACCATGGGAACGGACCCGTCGCTAATCTACGCCCCCTTGATCCGTATTTGCGATCGATTGATCATAGGCGGCGAGCGAGGGGGGGAAGCGAGAAGGGGCGGGCCTTCCCAAAGGGCTTTGGAGTCCCAGGGCCTCCCCAAGGGAGAAGAGGAGGATGAGGCGGCATCGGAGCCGAACCGTGAAGCGCGAAATGCGAATAACCTCGCGCCCTCGAGGGTGCCCTTGCAGAAAGTCCTCCTCCTCCCCCGCCTTCTCCACCTTTTCGCCGTCCTGCCACGTCCGCCCCTCCGCTCGGAAAACTGCCTTCCAGACCTCTTCTGGAGCGCGTCTCGATACAGCCAGCTCGCATGATGGGGATGCGCGGTCGAGATGCAAGGGCCCTGGAGGGCCACGCTCGCGTCTTTCCGAGGGAGGTTGGCCAGCGAGAGTCGCTGAGAATGACCCGAAGGGGCAAGGCTGGAAGGGCACCCCTGGGAAGATTGCCCAGCTGCCTTCCGCGTCGAGTCCAGCCGTGGCGGCGGGGAGCAATCCCCCCGGAAGCCCCAGAGAAGCAGCGAGCCCGTCGCGGCCCCGCTCGGGGGGCTCGCGCTTGCTGCAGGCGCAAGGTGGCATGCGGGCGTGTGCAGAGCACGGCAGGACAATGCCTTTTGATCGGGACACCGCCTAGCAGATCATGGCGCAGCTTCACTGCGCGCCATGGGGCAACACGGTATAGCACAGCAGAGCACGCCATGTCTTGACGTAGCGCAGCATGCCCAAACCATTCCAGTGCATTCTCTTGCAGCGACTCGCGCTGCAAAACTTAGCCTCGCTTAGCATAGCTTAGCATACCCTACCACACCAAGGTATCGCATAGCCAAGCACGGCCTAGCGTAGCACAGTACAGCATACGCCGCACACCACATCATAACACAGGTGACGCATGCGCAAGGAATTGGTACGCGGGTGACGAGGAGCCGGCCGGCAGTTGAGGCCAGGCAGTATTCCTTCAAGCAGGAACAACAAAAGAGGAGCGCCTTGGGTAAGCCCACGCTGCGGGAAAACAACACAGTGCTCCTCCCTCCTGCTGCCCTCCTCCCACGTCCCTCCTCCTCGTCCTCCTCCTCCCCCTCCTCCACCTCCTTCCAGCTCCTCCAACTCCTGTTCCCCCACATCCTACACTGGAGCCCCCCGGCGACCTTCCAGAACCCCATGGGGCTCCCCAAAGCCCCATAAACTCCTCCTCCTCCTCCTCCTCCTCCTCCTCCTCCTCCTCCTCCTCCTCGTCGCTGCTTCTCCTTGATCACGTCGAGACGGTCAAGACAATCAAGCTGGACGATCGAAGCACGTCGATGCAGTCTTGTGTGCTCCATGTCGGGCCAACGTGTCGTTTACTTGCGGGACTCTTCTGAGCCAAACGGACTTCCGGTGATGCGCAGGCAAAAAAGTATGGGAACACTGCCCCAACACGTGCGCCATACAGTGGAGGCCAGGTCGCCATAACCCTTCCACAAGAAACCCAACCCTGAGACCCCAGGACGGCCATTGAGAGTTTGGGTGTGGGAGCGTCGCGCTCTCCATCGCAATACCATCGAAATCCACGAAACCTAGGGCACCCTGGAGGCAAGCCGGGTGTTTCTTGGCATGGGTCTCCACTGTACTGTTTCTGTTTCTGGAACGCAGCCAATCCGTATCACAAGGACGCGCGGTAAGGATGCAAGGGCCTTGGAGGGCCATGTTAATGTTTTTGTCGAGCGAAGTTGGCCAGTGAAGGTTTCCAAGCATGGGCCGAAGGGACAAGCATGCAAGGGTACCCTTGGGAAGGTTGCCCATCCTTATGCTATGCGGG